TATCTATCTATCTATCTATCTATCTATCTATCTATCTATCTATCTATCTATCTATCTATCTATCTATCTATCTATCTATCTATCTATCTATCTATCTATCTATCTATCTATATCTATCTATCTAACAGTCCTTCTCCACCTATTGTCATTGGTCGTTAACGGTTGTTAACAGTGGTCTTTCTGGTGTGTGTGGTCCTTATCTTCTGGGGACTTTGTGAATGGTGCTGAACACAATAAGTTTCTTGTAGACCATCTTGACTGCTGATATGGATACCGTCAACATTCAGGCTACCCTTTGCTATGGAAAGTTTGACATCCCTTTCCTTTTGGCATTGCAAGCATGATACTGTGCAGCGATATTGGGGCATTTCCTTGTGTTTTGAATCATGGATACGGAACTACAATATCCCACATTAAGATGACACAGGTCTTTTGAAGAACTGAATTCCATTCCTATGCCCCTTTTTCCTGGTATAGAGACTCAAAGAAGCTCACAAATGGACTGTTACGTGTAATAATTTATAACTTTAATATTAAAAAACAAAAGAACACCTAGACATGTGTCACCAGAGGTAAATGTGAGATTAAAATCAACATCATTTCCCAAAAAAGGATAGCATCTTTTATTTCCGGATATGTGCAATGATTTCTTAGAAGCAGTATGTTGTTGTTGTTGTTGTTGTTGTTGTTGTTGTTGTTGTTGTTGTTGTTGTTGTTGTTGTTAGGCTGAATAGGTAGGCATAAGCACATCTGTGTATACTGCTTGGGCTGTGTATCTCACATTTGCCTTTGCCTGGAAGGACCGTCACATCCTAATTCACATCCCCCATCCCCCATAATTCAATAGTGCACGGATTAACTTCATGACATAAATAGATGCTAATATGTATCCAGTCAGAATGGCTTTTGAGGGAAAACCTTGCCCTGAAAGAACAGGGGAAGCAACAGATTAAGTTTGAATTTATGAACAGAAATCTAAAGAAGAAGAGAAGGTACCCCAGGTTATTCCCTTCTATTCCTTGTAGAAAAGCTGACTAGACATTTCTGTGATTAAAAAGAGCACAGAGGCAGGTGGGACCTGTGTTGCCCCTTCAACATGTGTGGGCTCCATTGAAAAAGGCTACTGGTGATGAGACAGCATCTTCTCCCACACCTGGAGGCAACAGGCAAGACTAAAGAGTGCGGGTGAGGTGGCAAAAAGCTTATCCCTTCAACAACCTGCTGCACCTCAGTTTGTATAGTGGTAGGGCTATCCCTCATAAGACAACCAAATACCATTATGCTTTCTTCCTGTTCGTCTCCAAGCTCTTTCCTTGAGTCTCGTGTCTTTTTGTCTACAGGCCTAGAGTGAGGGACTGTTTAATTACAGTATTAATGTCAACAAGCTATCCAAGGTACTCCTTTTTTGTGAAGAATTGAGCAAAAAGTTTAAAAAATAAATATAAAGAAGTAGACATGTGTCATATCTTTATCAGTGAGACTTGCCCTGGCCCCCCCAATGAACATAGACTGGAATTCCAGCAACTTCCTCTTCTGAGCACAGCTCCTTGTCCTGCATCAAATGCTATTCCTGAAGATCCATCCTTACAGAGCAATTTTGAAAAATCAACTCTGTGGGCAGAATTAGCAAGGAAAAAGGGCCTCAGCAATGCCTGTTTCTACCCAGCTTCTTTCTGTCCTGGCTGTTACATAGAGTTCCTTAATGTGTATTATATAATGGCTTAAAATAAAAAACGACGATAAGAATTCTAGACATGATGCACCCACCCCTTTCCACAGGCCTTGTCATAGATGTACAAAGTTGCCATGGTAACAAAGTTCTGTTATTAAATCTGGCAAACGTACAAGTGCTTTCACACTGCAATAAGACAGAAGTGCTAGCGAGCCATTTATACAGAGCTCCACCGTGTGCGTCATGGTGTTCTTTTCTTTGGAAGAGACAGCTGATCCAGACCATTACTGATCGAACAGTTACTTTGAGAATTTTCTGAAAATCTCTCTCTTCCATACTGAGTTTAGATACTGAGTATTAGCAGGATGGTAGACAATAACACAGGTCCACAAAGATACAAGTGGGAAGGATCAGAGCAACCCCTAAGACTCTTCTTTGCTGCAGGTGCTGCAAAAGTCCTCCTCTTCCACAGGAAGAAAAAGAACTCTTAAAAATTAAGAAGGCGAAGTAAAAACGCAACCAGGCCAGTCATGTGAGGAGAAAGCATGTTCTGCAACCACAGTAAACAGCAACTGTCAGAACAGGAAAACAGAGCACAAAGTGTTGGGAAGAGAAAGCATGTCTTATCGGTGGAAATAGCTGGCTGGAATCAGAAATAAGCCTCCTTCTCTTAGGAGGGAGGAAATGGCAACATTTCTTGGCAGGTCCTGCCTATTATACAGTGGTGCCCCGCATAGCGAGGTTAATCCGTTCCGGATTAACCTTCGCTATGGGGAAACATCGTTATACAGAACGGAAAAGCCCACTGGGCCCAAAACTCACCGTTCTGCGATGTTTCCCCATAGCGGCAGCCATTTTCGCATCCTTGGTAAGCGAGGGCAGGCCATTTTGGGTCTTTCAGCGGCCATTTTGGAACCGCCAATCAGCTGATTTTTAAAAAACGCTATGCGAAGATCGGTAAGCGAAACGCTTACCGATCATCGCTAAGCAATTTTTGCCCATGGGAAACGTCGGTATGCCTTCGCATTAGCGATCCCAAAAAACGGATCGCTATGCGAATTCGTCGTTATACGGTGCGCTCGTTAAGCGAGGCACCACTGTACATTCTTTTTCCAATCTTTGGGTGCTTATGTAGCCAAAACTCCAGCAGACACACATAGAGGGATATATTGACCAATTTGCGCAGGGGCGGGGGGATGAGGTACAGTATATCACAGAAAGAAGCACATAGATATGTAAAAGTGTAGAGACCCATCACATTTTTGTTTAGGTAAGTTGACACTCTCAAGTTCTCCTGGCTTACCATAAGATGATTTTTAAAATATGCCCAGAAATGATAGAGAGGGCCACCCGTACAACTCAATCAAGAAAGACCTAATTTTAAAGCAGCACTGCTGTGCACACCCTTCCCAAATGGCATCCCACCACCACCAGTACAGTAAACTCCTTCTAAATGAGTTCTTATATAGGGTGAAATATTATCACCTTACAGATGTGAGAGTTCGGTTGGAGGGTCATGCAGCTCTTCCTTATCTCCAATAACTTCATCAGACACAGACACCTTTTGCAATGGTAACGACTGAACATTTATTTTAGAACCATTGAATAAACAATTTCTCTCTTCCCTCCAATGGGGTGGGAAGGGGCTTCCATCCTTCTAAAATGAGAGGGTTCCCAAAATTCGAGTTCCAAGGGCATACACAAAGGGTGGCGCAGTGCTCATGCGGGTGCACTTGCGCTCCCGTGCAGACGCAAATGGGCTGTGCGGGGGGGAGTGTGTATGGGGCTGGGGGGGGAGATCTGTCTCTGAGGCCCGGTCCAGCTCAGGCCATTGACCGGTACCAGGCCGTGGCCCGGGGGTTGGGGATCTCTGCTGTAGAGTATTCACTGATAGAGCCCTATGTCAGGCTAGAAGGCTATGCTGAGACAGCTAGTTTGCAGCAGCCCTGGAGATAATTCATAGTTGATATTGCAGATCATGTACAGAGCTACTTAAATTGTCCCCTCAGATTTCCTGATTGACATGCTGAAGACTCACGCTTCATTAACTGATATGCAGATTAGCTGCACAGAAAGAAAAATATATTTTTTACAAAGGCAGAATCAAGTTAAAGTAGGGACAATAGTCTTTGATGTCAACCTCCTCACCTCCAACTTCTATGTGCATCAGGTTGATATAACGCAATCCCATGAAAGGGACTGCAACATTCATTTTCCCTGTTTCTCACATATAGGTATGAGTGCCAACAATTTATGTATGAAAACGGCAACACATACAGTATCCAAGAGAGAGAGGGAGGATTGGTGAACCCCTCAAATCCCTGCAAAAAATATAGGCAAAGATCTAAGACAGGAATTTTATAAACAGACAATGAGAAATAAATGTGCTCTGTGGCCACAAACTAGTGCTGAAATCCAATAGCAAGTCACAGCTAGAGTAAGCCCATTGAATCAATGGAATTTATGGAGGAACTGACTCACCAAATCCCCCTGCTTTACAACTGGATTTCACCCACTGATTGTGTATGTATGTAAAACCTATTGTGCCGGACAGTGATGCAACACACAATACAACTGACTGACAATGAACAGACACATTCCATACACTGTTTTGCAGCAGGACCCACTTATATTAGACTAACCATGTTGTTAGTAGAAAGCTATGCACACAGACAATAGAGGTTAAACATTTAAATTAAGCAGCAGGTTCCTACCTGAATATCTCTGTAAGATAACAACAAGTTTATCACAATGTCAGCAGACAGAAGCTCGATATTATCCACTCGCTGCCGTATTCTTGCGAGTTCTGCAGCTAGTTCTTTTCCCGTGTACAAGTTACGAGCCTTTCTGATATCGTTAAGAATTGATTCCCTGAAGTATTGGCTAAAATGGGGGGGAGAGGAGAAAAGAAAACCTTCAATTTAAGCCTGAATATCAGGGGACAGCCTCTTGGCTATTTTTTCTGTAGCAACTGACAGAGTCATAACTAGAGATGGGCACAAACTGAACTACAAAGTGGGGAAAAACATGAACCAAGCTGGTTCGTGATTTGGTTTGTGCAATCCATTTTGCCAGATTTTTCCACTCAGTGCTTCATTTTGTTTTGGCAAAACGGATGCCCACCTGCCCCCTTCCTGCTGCCCTTCTCACCTTCCTACCTGGTCCTGCTTCTGCCTCCACTGCCACCATTGAGCCAACCCGGCTTTCCTTCCAGGAAAGGTTCATGCCAAAATGAGTACAACTCTATTTAAATCTGGGAGTCAAGTTGGGGAACCAGTGCTCTTTATAAACTGGCCAAGGAGGATCCGGCTGCCCAGGCTCAAGATGTTGGCTGTCTCTACTACAAACAATACTCACACATACCTGGGAACTCTGAGGTTACTGCGCCACTTTCAAATGCTATATTTATCGCAGGGTCTTATATTAATTTTTGCTCCAAAAACACATTACGGCTTATTTTCAGGATATGTTTTATTTTTTTCATTGTACATCAATCTACATTTATTCAAATACAATCATGTCATCTTCTTCTGCTTGCTGCACAAGGGTGGAGGGTGAGGTTTCACTTCACAGGGGGTTATTTTGGGGGCTTATACTACGAGCATCCTGGAAAATCATACTAGGGCTTATTTTCAGGTTAGGTCTTATTTTCGGAGAAACAAGGTGTCTATATCAGTCAGCAAAATTCTGTAGAAAGAAGAAGAATTTACCTGCTCTGGGAATCCATGCATATTCCATACATAAGGAATTTTTTAATATATATTTAAAAATCCTTATGTATGGAATATGCATGGATTCCCAAAGTGAATTCTTCCTTTTTTGACATAATTTTGCTGAATAAATTTGATAGCAGAAGACATGTCATTGAGAACCTTACCTTGAACTGCCCTGTGCCGCCTTCAGGAGCTGAATAAAACGATCAACCAAAGGTAAGCATATTGGACCAAGCAACAATTCAAAGTTGGGCTGCATTAGCTCCGTTAATCCCTTCATAAAACTGCTGTCACAGCAATATACTTTATTATGGGGAGTTATCATATATGGAACAAATATGTAGTTTCCAGTACACATCTAGGAAAGGAAAAAAATAATTCCCTATATTAATAAATCATAACATATAACACCATAGTAAAGCTAATAATTATAAACAAGCTAAACTATGTTCAATGTTATTTCCACAGGCAAATTCTTTAATGGTTTCTGTTGGCAAGCTAAATATTACAAGAAACATTTCTCATTTAAATCACTAATATTCCTCTCCAAAACTACAAGGCGACCAACAGAGTAACAAAATGTAATTTAAGTAATAACAAAAGCAAAACAAAGCATACCAGCTTGAAACCCTGCAAATAGCTGAACCAGCAATGTATATAAAATAGAAACTGATGAACAATTAACTAAAACATAATGTTTTTACTGCCATGCCCACTGTAATTACATTTCCAACAGGCCACCCTGCAGGTGCATTCGAATTGGGATTCCTGTCATCCATACCCAACAGAACCAATGTAAATTGTAGACCAACAGCTCTGGATAACACCAGGTACAGGAAGAACAGTTAACACAGAGCTCCCTTGGGAGGCGATTTCATAGTCAAGACACCACCACTGAAACAACCTTATCCTAGGTAGTCACTCACTGCCCTTCAGATGACAGACAGACAGACAGCAGTACCTCTAACGGCGACCTGATTGAGTTCAATTATACTGAGCACTATATAAATGTTGTAAAAACAAAAAGTATTCTTTGCTTATATAATTACATGGACACAACTACAATTCCAGAAATTATAGTTGATGCTTATTTTGGGATTGGACAGTTGAAGCCCACAAAGATTAACTGCTTGGTATTATGCTGCATTGCCCCCTTTTTAGTACAATACAGTTGTAATAAGATTTACAGGTAAGGTAAAGGTAAAGGTTCCCCTTGACAATTTGACCAGTCATGTCCGACTCTAGGGGGTGGTGCTCATTTCCGTTCCCAACCCATAGAGCTAGCGTTTGTCCGAAGACAATCTTCCGTGGTCACGTGGCCAGCGTGACCAGACAGGGAACACCGTTACCTTCCCACCATGGTGGTACCTATTTATCAACTTGCATTTTGCATTTTGCATGCTTTCGAACCGCTAGGTTGGTGAGAGCTGGGACAAGTGATGGGGGCTCACTCCGTCGCGTGGATTCGATCTTACAACCGCAGGTCTTCTGACCTTGCAGCACAGAGGCTTATGCGGTTTAACCTGCAGCGCCACCATGTCCCAATAAGCTTTACAAGGACAGCTTAATAAATGTCAAGTTGCCTTTACTAAAAGACAGTCCAAAAATGCACCAGTTAATTAATGAAAAGCTGGCAGATTTCCTAAAACTTCAGCAGCAGTTCAAGATGGGAACTTTTGAAAAAGATGGAATTAACACTATGGTGGCACCAAAACTTTATAACAGCCTTTTATACAAAATGGATTATCAGTTTAACCCATTCTTCCAGTGAGTCTGAGCATATTGAAGGTTGTCTCTAATCTCAACTTCACAGGAAAAAGCCAATATTTCAAGGCATGGTGGTAAGATGAAACATCCAGAAGCCTTGTTGATCTTACTCTGAGAATATTATCACTTCCTAACATATTTCCTGTTCTTGGTACATTTTTCTGATATAGCCACCAAATACATAGCAGACACACGAAAGTGCCCCTCCCAATCAGCTACTAAACTCCTCCTGCATTACTGCAACAGCCAATGAAGTAGATCTGAAAGCCTAATGTGGAAGAAACACTGTACTTTTTTTGCAGAACATAAAATGACTTTGTAGGATTTGCTCATATGAGATATTTTAATTGTCATTTGGTTAGCTAGGGTTAAAGAAAGTTTAAGCTAATTTGCAAGTACCATTAAGGAATTCCGAAATGGGGGGGAAGTTGCAGAGCAATATGTGGCCCTGTGACTATCCAAGCCCCACTTTCCACATTAAGCAGAATCTGATGGCAGACCATGGGCACCTTAAGTCACACACAGTTATAGTTCTCCTTGTGATCCAGGGAAGGTAAAAGCTGCATGTTGCAAAATGTGATTCTAATCATTCTCCAGAGATGCATCCTCAACACAGGAAGGAAGGTTGGTGGTGTGGCACTGGAGGAGTGCCAGCATTCCTAACAGAAGGCCTAAGACGATGCATGGAAGCTTTGGGCTGTACACACCTATCTGTTCTTGATGCTTGTGAAACCAGAAGCTTATCTATCTGTGGACAGTTTGCAAAAGCAGGAGCAGGAAAGCTAAACTATCTAAAAAATGAGGCCTTAAGAAGGATGCGAGGATAACAGTAGTATAGGGATGTGTGAATAGAGAGAACCAAGGAAGTTTGGTAATGCAAATAGGCAAATACAGCATCTAGTAACAAGTTTATAAAAGGATTACAACATTTGTTGCTGGGAGGTTGGGCATTTAAAGTGAACTGCAACAGAGCTGAACAGAACAGCTGCATCATAGAACTTATAACAGACATAATGTTTAAATCTTAAATTGCAGGGACTAAACACAGAATCATATAAAAGTGAAGTTGGAAGGGGCCTAGAAGGTCATCAAGTCCAACCCCCTGCTCAATGCAGCAATCCAAATATGCATATACAGTAAAAGAAATCCACAAAGCAAGTGTGGTCATTTTTGGTTTTTTGTTTGTTTTTTTAAAAAATACTTACATTATTCTTCTGGCAAATAATTTCCTGTAAAGAAAATGATAGATAAGAATGTTAAGAACCACCCACAAACAATTTTGTGTTTGCATTTCAGATTATATTTATTCCTGTAAAGAAAATGATAGATAAGAATGTGTTTGCATTTCAGATTATATTTAGCCAACAAAGAACTCTACAGCTGTTTTGAGTTTTTAATATTCCCCTTTGGAATCTTGCATTTCTTTTACAGCACTCTGTTGCTTAGAGGAAAGACAAAAGGTACTGTGATGTGAGTCATTAGAATCTCTCTTGCCCTAACAAGTAACAGGAGACTGGACCACACAGTTTAAACAGGTGAAGGTTTTTTATGGCATAGAGATAAAACAATCAGTAAACTTTCATAGATCAAGTGTATTGATGTTTAGGTTTCAGTTGCTGTTAAATGTGGTGGAGTAAGTCCAGGAATAAAAGTAGTAGCTGGCACAAATACAAAATCAGGAAAATATTACTAATTTGTGTTAACAAGACAGTATCTAAGAGTCCATGATATGAAGAACAAGGTGTTTATTAATTAAACTATTTGTTTGTGTTTTTTTGATTATTTATTCAGGGTTAGCTGTGCACAGAGCTGAGCATATCAGCACCGAAAGACTATTCTGCCATTGCTGCTTCTGCTCATCTCATGCTTGACCTGGTATGAGACAAATATATGGCATGAATATTTTTAAAAGGGGAGAAATCATTCTCCAACATGGTTTATGCTACAATAATCTAAAGAATTTTTCACTGTATTAAAATACTATTATTTAAACATTTCTGATGGATCTTGGGGGGTTTGGTTGATTTTTTGGGGGGCTCCCCATTTCTGATGTGTCCTGCATGTTTCCCTTGCTTTTTCCTTTGTTTTCTTTGCATTTCCAACCTGCCCCCTTTGTTCTCCATGCATTTCTGATCTGCTCCGTTTGTTTTCTGTGCATTTCCAATGGGTCTTTGCATGCTTGATTGCTTTTCTTCCCCCCCCCTCCCTTTGGCCAGAAGGGATTAATCGTGTTTCCAATGGGTCTTGCTGTGATTTTTTAAAAATAAAAACAATTCGGTGATTTGTTTTCCTTCGGCCAGAATGGATTAATTGCATTTCAATGCATTCCTATGGAAAATGGTGCTTCGACTTAAGACCATTTCGAATTGCATCCATCTTCTGGAACAGATTATGGTCATAAGTGGAGGCACCACTGTAGTGCCTTGGCACTAATGGAAGCATTATACAAGCTAAATAAATAAATCAAATAAATACGTAAATATTTAAATTAAAACATGCTCACTATGTGAGCTTGGCCAGCTACTGTGTCTCAGCCTAACCTACGTGGAAGAAAAATGGACTGTAAATAATAATAATGAGATTTGATTTTTTTTGTTTACTTCTGCCACACTCTCCTGCATTATTGCACTGCTTAAATGCTTTGAGGATAAGAATCCTGTTTAAGATTGCGAGAGACTGTTCTTGAGTTTCAAGATGCTGCTGCATTCTTAGCATGTTTTGATAGAATCATAGAATCACAGAATCATGAAGTTGGAAGGGTCCTATAAGGCCACCAAGTCGAACCCCCTGTTCAGTGCAGGAATATAAATCAAGCTGGGAGTGAGGATGTGGTGTGGCTTTATCACAGCATAGGCAGCTTGCTTCAGCATCTGAGTGTGTTGACTACCAATACATTCATCGTGAATCTCTGCTCCTTCACCAGCTGTTACCATGTCATGTTGACACTGAGTATTGTGTAGGTATGGAGGATATTACCACAGCACACCCATCAATTTCTCTGCATGTTTCTGCAAATACAGTAACTTTTACCACCCATCACCTGCACCACCCCGCTCAGACCCTGAATTTTCATTCCATGAATGCAGGCATCTATTACCTTCAGAGACTGCAGGGAGTCTGCATTTGTATCACAGTAGAGGATAATGTTGTTGGCCATGCTGAAGCTCTCTCGGACTCCCAGGTGATAAAAAAGGGAGGGCTGACGGAAAGCATCGCTCATCTCCACCACGGCAATATCTGTGCACATGAGCCAAATATATGTTTTGTCAGATCTTGCATAAAACAACTACTCCAACAATATTTTCAACTAATCTGCCAACTTCACTCATCAGCCATCAAAGACAGCTATTACTCTGGAGGAAAGGAAACATTCAAAAGGCCTGCAAGGAAACATCGGCCAAAATCTTGTTGGTATAAATTCATATGATGGAAACTGATGATGTTATCAGCTAGTGCCAACAAAACTTGTAAAAAAATTAACAACTTCCTAACACACACACACACACACACACACACACACACACACACACACACACACACACACACACACACACACACACACACACACACACACACA